TCCCCCCCCCCCCCAGTATTAGTTATTTTATTAAGTTTTATTTATTTTATTAAGTTTTTTCAGATTGACTTTTTAGTATTTAATGTTTCTTTGTTATTTGTTTTTAAATATGTCTATATATTTCGTATTTTGTATTATATTTTATTCATTTTAGTCATTTTAAGTACAAACTGACTGAATCTCAAGGAAATATTGAAGAAAAGTTGATAAAAGTTCAAATAGCAAGACCTTCAGAAATTCTGACGTCTGAACAGCATTTAAGTGAACATTACAAACTGTGGAGCTCATGCTCTCATGTAACATATGTATTTTTCTCTTTCTCAAGGCCACGTTTAAGGGCTGGATGGAGATCATGTACGCCGCGGTCGACTCGCGATCTGTGAGTAAACCATTTTGAGCTCATTAAACCAGATTGAAACCCATTTGAACGTATCGTTTGCTAATTCCAGCGTCTCTAATCTACTGGAACAGGTGGAAGAGCAGCCCATTAAAGAGAACAGCCTGTACATGTACCTGTACTTCGTCATCTTCATCATCTTCGGCTCCTTCTTCACGCTCAATCTCTTCATCGGTGTCATCATTGACAATTTCAACCAACAGAAGCGAAAGATACGTATTAAACCCAGCAGAATAACGAGCATGAAGCGTGTGAATGCGATGGTGACGGTAATAATAACAGAAGAGTTTCTCTGTACTTAGGAGGACAGGACATCTTCATGACAGAAGAACAGAAGAAATATTACAATGCCATGAAGAAACTGGGATCCAAGAAACCTCAGAAACCCATCCCAAGACCTACTGTGAGTATTCAATGGATTTTGATCAAAATGAGCCAATAACATCTCATTAAATCAATTTGATTTTGTTTTCTTCTCAGAACTTAATGTATTTTAAAAAATGTAATAAATAAAATGTAATAAATATGTATTAAAAAATGAATTGAATTGATTTTTCTTTTTCTATTTATTTAATTATGTTTAATACAAATGTAAAATTTTTCATACCACCCACCTCTTTTCCACTTTGTTCAAAATAATTCATTAATATGATAAATAAAATAATGTAAAACAAATGTAAAGTATTATACTCTTTTACATATTTTATCTGCATGAGGCAGCCAGTTCTATTAAATCGTAGATTAAACTGTGTAACATCTCTCTTTGTAAGATACAGTAGCTTTACCGTGTGGCCTTGGCATTACATATCAAGGTCTAAAGACATTCAATGCAATTTTGTAGCACTTCACCTACTAATAAATAGACAGCCGGTGCTTCAGTGACACAGAGAGGCGATTTTGAGAATAGACCCTGATGAGAGAACGAGGAAGGCCAGAGGGGTTAACAGGCGCAGAGAGTCCCGGAGAAAAGGGGAGATCGTTAAGGAGAAGGTAATTTGGGCAATCAGAGCTGTCAGCTCAGGGGATTGGTCAGTGATTGAGCTCTCAGTCCGAGCTAAAAGCTTGACGTGGTTTCATGCCGCGACCCCCTGCTGCCGTCTGTATCTCCACAGGGTTAAACACTTAAAGACACACCGTCGCAAATGTAAAAACCAGCCATTTAACTCTTAAGTGGTACAGACTCTCAATAAATCACGGCTGGTTATTGGTCTAGTGGAAGTGTGGCGTCTGGATTCTGGTGGTCATGGACTGCAAATGAATAGTTCGTGTTTTTCTCGAACCCACATGCTCTTCATTTTTTCATGCAAAGCAAAAAGTATCTTCTCACAATTCTTTTCCATGCAACAAATGTTTCTCAGCTCTCAAAAGCAACTCCAGTATTTGATATTCCTGATGCGTATTGTTAGGATGACAAAAAATATTAAAAGATACATTTTTTTAATTGACAATGTCAAAATGATTGATACAGCCTATTGAATCAAAGAAGGTAAGCGCAAATTAATTTTCAGCACGACGCTTCAGTTTTAACAGTGAAAGAGGTAAGATGTAAGTTGCTAAACGTTTATTGTTTTTAGTAAAACGATAACATCCAGCGATGTAAATTATTCTACTTTTTGTCAAATTTTACTATATTGAATTGAAAATTCAGGCTATCATTTACATGATTCGTGTAATTTGTAACACTGTTTTTTCAGTATTATTGTATTAGTATCATTATCATAGTTTATATTAATATTTTGAATTAGATTTTGCGTTTTTTTTTATGTCAATATATTTTTTATTTTAATTTTTTTATTTCCATTTTAGTACATCAATTTAAATGAAAAAGAAAAATGTTGTCTTGGCAACCAGGATTATTATAGTAAACCAAAAATAAATAAATAAGAACTTAAATAAAATGAACTATAAAAAACTTTTTATTTCAAATAGTTTTAATTTAGTTTAACTCGATGTAGTCAAATTATTTAAAAAAATTGAAAAAAGGCGAACAAAATGGCAAAAACACAACAATATAACAAATATTTTGACTAAAATAAAATTAAAACAAAACATAAAACAATTATTACAAATATTAATTAACTTGATATACTAATAGTATCTTAATTATACTAAAATAACAGTTGGCAACTAGCTGAAAGTTTATTTTTTTTTAAAGAAGTTTTTTTTTTATAGATTGTTATTTCAGTAAATATTTATTTTATTTCAAGTAACAAAAATATTTTTTTATGTTTTTTTAGTTTACTGTAATAGCCCGGATTCGTAACTGAATGTGAATTAATTAATGGAGCCATAGGCAATTAAGAGCAAATTTTTTAAATAAATATATGTTTTACAAATAGGTTACTTTGCAATAAATTTACACTCATTTCTTTCTATATTTCTATAAAAAAATAACTCTTAGGTCCCCCCAAGGTTTAAGACATGGTTATGACTTTTTTTACAACATCATAACACCATCCATATGATTTAAGTGCGGTATTCCCAGTTTTAAAGGGACAGACCCAAATTAAAGTCATTATTGCCTTGAAATCCAAAAGCTCTAAAAAAATGGTGGGTGTTGTTTTATGGAAAAGAGCCGCATTAAGGTGCTGTTTTCACTTTGTGTCTCGTTCTCGTTCCAGGTATTGTTCTCGCAGACATCATCGAGAAGTACTTCGTCTCGCCAACGCTCT